GTGTTCATGGATTGGATACTTCGAGTAAATGTCCTTGATTCCGAGAGGCGACGGGGAGTGTTCAGAACATGACGGCCACCACTCTGTTCCTTCCGCAGAACGTGGAGGTGAAGGACCTCTCTGGATCCCTTACGATCACAAAAACTCCCAAGTTGAGGGGGAGCTTGATTTTCAGCTACACCCGACAAATAATAAACTTGTTTGTCGAAATAAGCAAACCTTAGCGAAAGGAAGACCAAAAACAGGGAGCCCCTCCACAATTGCCAAATTGTTTGGTATTGTTTGTAAAGGCATGGTCACCAGCCAATCATGACACAGATTCTACGACGTCGAGGTATCCATCGTCAGCGATACAGAATTCGCCAACCGGCCTCGTGTTGAGGGCGCTGCGCTTGGCGAGAGGGCCTTTGGCGCTGCCGGCGAAGGTAAGGACCACATCTGTGGTGCTGAGGTGGTTTACTGCAACAGCCGCAGCGGATCTGTCTGCGGACGCGACTGCATGGTTTACGAAGGGAATAGTGCCGGCCTCAACGCTCCGGACACCACCTGCCTTATGGCTACGACCGACGTCGCGTGCTGCGACAGAGGGGGATGGGGGGGAAGTTGTAACTCGTTCAATTCCTGCGGGACGAGACTCGATGGGGGTTTCTGCTTCACGCCGGGGACCAGGCCCATCAACGTCCCATTCACCTGATTGAAGAGAGAGAAATAAGTGGTGGAGATCGAGGCCAATATTAGTTCTGCGAGTTGTACAAGTTTAGTATCATCAAATTGGATGTTACGTTGCGACTTACTTGCTCCGAGTACGCAGAGGTTGTAATAGTTGGTTGAATCATAGTTCACAAATTGGAGAGAGTATCAACCCAGCGCTGTCGCTTTGTTCAAGTTGAACTTCCATCCATCTTCCACAAGAAACTCTGAAAAAGAAAGTAAGTAATAACTCGAACGAAGTAGTGAGGGAAGCAACCAATCACAACGCCTGGTGTGAACTGATTCTGGTGCGAACCAGTGATGTACGGAGCATCTACGCGCGAGAGAAGTCACATATGTAAGCATCCTTGCTCCTGAATCGCTTGGCAGAAACTGTGGGGCAACTGGGAAGTAAATGATCCTAGGGAGAGGCCGTTTACATAAATATTTCCCACATTCAATGGGTAGTCCGTCCAACTCACATGTATGTTGGAGGTTATCGATCAGGCCTCAGGCAACAGGTTGCAACGCGTAGCTCACCAGTTATGCTAGACGTTCCCCTTCATTGTTGTACCATGTGTCGTTGAGTATGATGGCTTCAAGCGTCCGGGCGAAGACTGGGGCCATCAGGCGTTTCGCGACGATGATCTATGTTTATCCCTTGAATGAAACTTAGTGACACACAGCCTTGATGAGATTACTCACTAGATTTGCTGTTTCATACCGTGTCGCATATACAGTCGAGGACAATCAAAAACATCAAATTTGATGGAGCCGGATTGGGAATTTTTGGGGCCAATCTGTTAACGGATTCATAGTCAAGGACACCGAAAGAGCTCAAAAAACGATGTCCGAAGTTTTTCCCACGTAAAATGGGTGTGGCCAAAATTTTTGGAGCAAAAATTCGAATTGTGTGTACCCCTTTTGGGGATTCTGAAACCTGCTTTCCCCTCAAATTCTGGACTATAGAATTTCTTTCCCCAATTTGTAGTCACTACTGAGTCGCAATGACACTAAAATTATCTCTGACACACATTTACGCACATTCATCCTCGGCACACAGCTTCGGCCGGAGTTGAGCTTTCCCAAAGTGGTAGTGCATGTGACATGAGTCACATGCAGCACCCCCTGAGCAACTTTGACTAGCATATGGTGAGCGCAACATCACTCTACGAGTTCCAGCAATAGTACTATCAGATAGAGGCAATTTTTAGCTGTCGATACCTTATTTTATTTTATTTTTACCTATTTTATTCGATGTGGCCAAAATTTTGGGCCTCCGCCAAAAACTAGAGCCTGAACGGCTCGATAGAATCACTTCGGACCCAACGGAATATCAAACTAGATACCTATAGATGCGTACAAAAACGAGTCCGAGGGCAAAAAGAAGGGTCGACCTAAAGTTGATGTTTTTGATTGTCCTCGACTGTAAGTAGCTAAAGCTCAGGAGGTCCTGGTCAAAACAGTAAATCAAATGGCGCGCAGGTGATTTCTCCCTAAACAATGATCAGATGAACAGAGGCACTTACATCCACGAACACCAGCCCACCCGCCGCAATCCCAAAGAATACGGGGACGCCAATCCATTGGACGACGACTCGATTGACGATGCAGGATCGGAAACCGTCATTCTGAGAACAGAAATCACCACTTCGTCGCCGACGCTTTCGCTCTCCAACCCAGACGACAACTTCTGCCTAATTCTTTCGGTGCGCGTCTTCGCCTCGCCGAGAGCGTCCGCCCCCATCACTATCGCAACCGGTCGCACTGGACTTGATGCGGATTCATACATTCGCGGCGCGTTTCGCCTTGAATGTATCACCGATCCGAGCAAATCCATCGCACTATCCACAACCACACGACCGCACTACGCTCGTACAGAGACCGAGAACAAAGATCTGAAGGAGATCGAATGGCTGAAGTTCGTCACTGTTCCTCCTAAAGACGCTGGTGTAGTTCGGATAGAACATCTTCTCCCATTAGAGAGAATGCTACGCCGCGAGCCCACGGTCAAGCGTGAGGATTTGAGGCCAGGGATGGGGTATCGTGTCTGGAAGGACGAGCAGATCCTCAACGATATCGGAACCTTGTATTGGGGGGCGTTGGATGGAGAATTGAAGGATAAGAAGTTGTCAGATAAGCGCGAAGATTTGACATCACAAGAGGATCGAGAGGTGCTCGAAGCTGATAATTGGGTTCTGGACCAAGGCGGAGTCATTGTCAGAGGCAATGTCGGTAGGCATGGCCCTGTATTTGAATTAGTAGAATAACTTGCTTGTAGACACACTCTTCGCATTTAGTCCTGTTGGCGGACAACAAAGAGCAAGATTACCAAGCGTCTGCGTAACATTGAGTATCGATGAATGTCCAGATTCGATGTCAAGTCCTTGGGCCATATTGCTCAAGAAAGGTTAATCGGTTTTATTGCTTACATCTCTAGTACACCTTCGCCTTCCAGAGCGAAGCGATTCAATTCACGGGCTCGGCCGCCGTACATGAAGTGTATAACACTAAAGAAACAGACATGGGTCAATATAGCAAATACAAAGCCCACAGAAATCGACACGATAAGATAGCAAAAGGCGAGAAACAGTACGCAGGGATGCGGTAGCGAGATCTCAATCGCCATCTACTTCTTCTGTCGCTTCTTGACCTCATCGTCTTTGCAAGCATGGAGCAGGATTTTGTTGGGGTGGCCTGGTGTCATTCCAGAGTGTCCCTTGGACCAATCGTACGATATAGCGTAGGCGAAGATGTTTCCGTTGCGATTGAATGTGGTGGCAGAAATCGGACCGGGCGCCGTATCAAAGGCTACATAGATGGAGAAATCAAACACGAGAAGTAGCTTGAAAGTACAGTACTCACACTTTAGCCGGCTACGAGCGTCTTTGTCCCAGAAGTGAATACCTCCATCAGACCCTAGGAAACATTCTTACGACGGCTGGTGTTTAAGGAGAGAAGGACATACCACATGTAGAGAACGTGCCATGCACAGGGTGGAATGATATATCGTTCACCGCGTACACTAGTGCTTGATCTTTGATGCTGGCCGAAGAGTCACGTCGATGGCATTTGAAAGAGAAATTGTCCCTAGTGAACGCGTTAGCCTGAGGGACAACTGGATCCGTTATATTCCTTACTTGGCGTCTTTATCCTCCACATATCTGATTCACTTAATCAATGAGTGTTCTCTCCACCAGGAGACCACTTACTGAATGGCTACTCTCCCCTCGACACTCCCTACAGCGAATCCGGAGGACGCGGCTGCTGTAAAACAAGATACAACCCGAGTTTGCCACTTGAGGGGGGATATCGTGGTCTTGTTCTGTGGTAAGTATCGCTGCAAGACGATGCAGAGGAGACAAATACCTTGTACGGTGTGGTTGGGTTGGTTAGGTTGAATATCTGTATGTGTCGCTCGGCTGTGCCCACAACCATGAGGGGGTACTGGACGTCCATGGTGTAACAGCGCTCTGGCAGCTGGACCGTCGCTACGGGGTTCGGAGTGCGCAGGTCCCAGTACTATTCGAACCAGTGAGTTTGAAACAGGTTCCGGCGAAGTTGGGTAGTTACCTTAATTGTTTTATCCCAGCTCCCCGTTGCCAATATCCCCCCTTGCGCGTCGACCCATTTGACACATCTCACTGGTGCGTCGTGTTGAGCGACTGGGGCGGCTTGCCCCGTCGTAACGTCGAACATGCGCGCCACATTATCTGCACCTCCTGAAATGATTTTGTTGCCCTCCTAAAGAACCCATTGTATTGGTTATTAGTCGAGAGGAGAAGACCACCCACTTTGTTCCAGCAGACACTCAGGACCGGTCCTTGATGCGAATACATGGCCTTCCCCTGCGTCTGACCGTTAGCACCTACCTCATATATCCGGACCTAGATCAACAAGAACGCGTCACAAATTGAGCCCACGACGCGTAAGGTCGTCCAGAAGGGACTCACGTTGTTGTCCCAGCTTCCTGCGGCGAGATAGTCGGCCTGGCCTGAGAACGAAAGCGAGGATATCGAGTCGGATGGCGGATCTGCGACCTCAACGTCCTTCTCGGCGGGGGCGGTGGTCGAATTGCTACTGGCCACTGAGGGCGCTACGGACGCGGTCCCAAAAAATGACATTTTGTGCTCTTGGTAGTGTCCTCGATGCTCTCAGTGTGGATGTGCAAATGCAAGTGGACGACGAATAATCTTGCCCAAGAGTGGCAAGCCAAGCGCCGTTTGTTTACACATGACTCGGGCGCTAAATAAGTACAACAGCGGAAGTTTCAGTGCTGAAGATTGCCGAGCCATGGCCGCTTTGCAGAAGCCAACGTAGCACAATGGTTAGTGTGTTGCTTTCCGGAGGCAAAGGCTGTGGGTTCGAGTCCCACCGTTGGTTCTAGAACTCAGTGACTCTATCTGGAGGCAAAAACTTTTTATTAAGAATCAACTATGCCCGCCATAGTGGATTACACTAGTGTACAACAGAATTCACAAGTCCTTTTGTTGTTGGAAAGAGAAACAGAGAATAATCTACTGAATGGATCTGAATTGGGAGTAATGCAATGATACGGAAAGGAACAATTGATCATGGAAGAAGGCAGATAATGTAATGCTAAGCTTAATCGAACTTGGGAGTATCGAAGCAGTCGTCTTGGTCTAGAGTGAAGACAATGAATCAGTGAATAGATATGATTATGATTTCAGGCTAACCTTTTCCGTGCTCGAGGATGAAATCACGATCTTTCTTGATGAGATGCTTGATATACGACTCCTTTGCGTGGGCATCGACGGCCACCTTGGGGTTGACGCGTGCACCAGCGCGAACAGCTGCGATCGCAACATCATATCTCGATGTGTTATTGCAAAGCATCATGTCGAAAGGCGACGTCGTTGTTCCCTCTTCTTTGTAACCCTCCATTGTAATACGGTCCAATCGCGGGCGGCCGAACAACAACCCCTTCAACTCTATGGGGTAGCCGTGGTAGTTAAAGTGAATCGGCTTGTCCTTGGTGAAGAGGCTGTCGAAGGCCTCATCGGTGAGCGAGTGTGGGTGCGTGCCGCTCGAGCTGAGGATCATGAGATCGGTGACGTTAACGACGCGGACGCGGAGTTCAGGAACAAGCTTTCGAAGGAGGGCGGCGGCGGCGATGACTTCGAAAGTGACCTCCACACCAATGCCGACAAGGGTGACGTCTGGGTCGACACCGCCGTCGGTGCTAGCGAACTTCCAGATCGAGGCACCGGCAATGCAATGCTAGAGAAGAGGGTTAGAACAAGAGTCGGGCAGAAAGCTGGGAAACCACGTACTTCGTCAGCTTCTTCAGGAGAGAGCCACACTGGGGTCGGTTGCTTGCTGCCTACCATCAAGTTGACGTAGTTCTTTGCCCGCAAGCAATGAGACACAGTCGACAAGAAGCAGTTGGCATCAGGAGGAAGATAGACCCTGGCAAAGCGGGCCTTGAGGTTCAAGACGGCACCGATGAAACTGGGGTTCTGATGAGAGAACCCGTTGTGCTCCTGACGCGCCCAAGTCGATGTTTCGATATAGTTTAGCGAGCCGACATCCTGGCGCCATGTAGTTTCGACGGCCATTTTGGCGAACTTGGCGTACTGCACCATCATGGTGTGGACAATGCCGAGGAAGGCCTCGTAAGATGGGAAAAGACCAGTGCGGCCAGTGAGGGTGTAACCTTGCAGCATGCCTTGGCAAGTGTGCTCAGAAAGGATCTCAATCACACGACCTCCCTTGCCACGAGAGGCTATATCCCATTGGAAGTTACGGCCACTGTCATCAAGGACGGCGTCGAGCTTGTTAGAGACTAATTCGTCGGGCGAGAAGACTCGGAATGTAGTGGGATTCCTGCGAAAATGTAAGCGCGGGGGGACATGGCTATGGGACAAGTTACTGACTCTTTGACAACTTCCTTGAGGAAGCGACCAACAGCCTTCATGCAACTATCTTGGGAGCCCTTTTCTCCGCAAAGAGGCTTCCAGTCTGGGGTTACCAGAGGAACGTACGTGCAATAGCTGTCAGGATTTTGACCGAGCTTGAGTTGTGTTTTTTCCGGAATAATGCTGAGCACCTCGGGGACGGGAGAACCAGACTCAGTGAAGAGTTCCTCAGGCTTGTAGGAACTGAGCCAGTCGTGAAGCGCGGAAAGTTCTTCGTCAGAGGTCTTTGCGTTGGGTAGAGGGACTTGGTGAGAGTGGAAGGAGCCCTCGATGAGTTCTCCGTGGAAGGCCTTGGGACCAAACCAGCCCTTGGGGGTGCGGAGGATGAGTACCGGCCATCTGGGCTTGATAATGGGGTTGCCTGAGCGCGCAGCTTTCTGGATGGTGCGGATTTCGCCAAGAGCCCAATCCATAGAGGCAGCGAGATCTTGATCGATGTTTTCAAGATCTTCGACAATTCGGACTTGATAACCGTATCCGCTATAAGCAATGTCAGGATATGGGCCTGATCGAATTGTCAAGTACGCTTACGTGAAAAGGGCAGTCATTTCCTTGTTATCCATTGTGCCGTAGATGGTACGCTCAGAGATCTTGAAGCCATTGACATGGACGATAGGGATAACAGCACCCGACTCGGCTGGATCGATGTACTTGTATGCGTGCCAGGCAGTGGCAGTGGGGCCTGTTTCGGCCTCACCGTCACCGACAATGCAGGCAACGACGAGATTGGGCTTGTCCATGACGGCACCGAAGGAGACGCTGAGAGCGTACCCAAGCTCACCACCTTCGTGGATGGCGCCTGGAGTGGCGGCATTAATATGACTAGTATCCTTCGTAAGATCTTCTTGTCATTGTAGATCGGTGTTAATACGAACCTTGGGAAGCCTCCGGGAGCACTGAATCGCGAGATCAGCTTCTTGAGCCCGGCGTTATCTTGAGTAATCTCGGGCAGGAAGGGGCTCATGGAGTCCTCTAGCCAGAGGCAAGATAAGATGGCTGGAGCTCCATGACCTATTGATGAGATCGTTGTGGATCAGCGCCCAATGACGAAGGTTATGACTATATGCGCCTACCTGGCCCGACAACATACAGCGCCTCAATTCCGTTGTTGCGAATGAGCCTGTTGATGTGCGCATATACCATGGTAAGACCGGGGCATGTTCCCCAATGTCCAAGAAGACGAGGCTTGATCTGATCGTGGGTGAGTTTATCTTTGAGAAGAACGTTATCGTTCAAGAATATCATCGCTGCGATCATTGTCAGAGAAGTCGCATATACTAAATGCTGACGCGCTTACCAGCTGCGATATAGTCTGCAGCGCGACGGAACATTTGAATGTTCTTGAGTTCATCGGGTTTGAGGTAATCTTTGGTGTTGAGCTTGACGCTGTACTCGAGGACAGCATCCGGGAGCTGGGAGGGGTCAGCGGGTGGATTTGGTTGGAAGAGTTCTTGTCCAGGCATGGTGGTTGTGGAGGACGAACTCGAGGACGAGACTTGCGATGTTGTGGTAGTGAAGAAAGAAGGGTTGAATGCATTTGGCTTTATAGGTGGAGTGTATGGTGCACTACGGGTGTATGTACTGGATTGTTTGCCAATACCGCGCCAGTCATCTTGGAGTGTGCGGAATAAATGAGCCGAGACCCTCTGATCTGGACATCTGTCACCGCTGCCTGGACCATGTTGGTATACAGGATACCGCCTTTTATCTATTGGATGCTGCTCTAATTGATGAAATCTGATGGACGCACAAGGTCTTCACCGCACAACCTACCTCAACACCGCGACTGTGACCATACTGTGCAGGTCTGGAATGAGTAGCTCGGGTATTGACCGTGAGAATATATTTATTGACCGTGGTAATTCAATATTCAATGTTCGTGATCATTCGTCGTACCAACGTTTCTCTCTCTTACCACCACATACCCTTGCCTCGTTCGTCGATCCACCAGCAACGCAGATAGCTATTGGTTATGCCCTTACGCTGGCAGGTCCAATGGCGAGTGTCCAAGGTCTTGAATAGCTTTGAGCATGTGACGCTGGCCAGAACTCAGCGACACACCGCCTACGCCTAGGCTTGATGCAAGCGGTCCCAGGCTCGCCGAACGACCTGTGCTTGGGAGGCAGCGTATCAGGATTCACCATCGGTATATCCAATGATAGCTCGATAATTGTCCCCCAAATCTAGGCAGGGCCCATCCATTCAGTGGCGGCGACGATAAGCGCGTCGGGGTGCAGTTTCTCAGAGTTTCACCGTGCATGCTACACTGAATCCGAGGCCAAACAATCGCCATGATGGACACGGTCGTATCGTTGATTCTGGATGATGCTCTAGGTGTATGGAGCCTGGCCAGGGAGTTCCTCCATCGGAGGGTACAGAGGACACGATTATCGTGGCGATCTAATTTTATCGCTCCCATATCTATATGCGCCCTGATCGAGGGACACTCACTCATTTCTGCCTTTCACCATGTCCTCCTCCTCCCCCAACCAGAGCTTAGAGCCCCTCGCACTTTCGGTCAATGCTGGCTCGTCGTCGCTTAAGATCTCCCTCTACGCCGTACACTCCCATGAATTCGTCCTGGGTGTCGACCCCGTCGCCTTGTTGCTGACGTCATCGATTTCCAATATATCGGCGCCCCCCGCAAAGTTCTCCTTCAAGGTCGCCAACGCCGACGGCATCGTCAGTGAGCAAGCGACAGATGTGAAGGATGAGCCGGTGGACTCGATCCACGACCACGCCAGCGCGTTTGCCCATTTCCTGGATTATCTGAAGAAGGAAGCCAATATCGACAGAGAGCGCATACAAAGGATATGTCACCGTGTCGTTCATGGCGGAAACTACAGCGATCCTGTTATCATATCCGATGAGAGCTTTCATCACATTGAGAGGCTTTCAGATTTGGCACCATTGTGAGTCTTGTGGTTGCCATTGCGATGTCGTTAACACTGTTTAAGGCACAACGGTGCTGCACTATCTGTGATCAAGGCGTGCATAGCCAATATACCATCAGCGCAATCGATCGCGTACTTCGATACTGCGTTCCACCGACCTATGCCAGCCCATATCTCAAGCTACGCGATCAACCAAACAATAGCGAAGAAGCGGGGGCTCAAGAAATACGGATTCCACGGTCTCAGTTGTAAGTTTCGTGCTGAAACTGAACATATATGCGCCTGATTAGTCCAACCAGACGCGTTCATCCTCCGTTCAGTCGCTCGACATCTCGACAAGGTGCGCATATATACGCGTTTCATCCGTTTTTTGATTTCTAAAGTGCATCTACGTCTAGCTCCCGTCAGAATTGAACCTCATTGTCCTGCATCTCGGTTCGGGCGCGTCTGCTTGCGCTATCAAAGAGGGTAAATCCCTCGACACATCTATGGGGCTTACACCGTTGAACGGGCTCCCTGGCGCGACGCGTGCTGGAGCCATCGACCCCAG